AGAAAACAGAGGAATAGCTAGAAATATCAAAGTATCCAAAACGTCTAGCTAAATGAAATGGTGAAGTAAATCCTTCCATCTTAACAAAATGTTTCAACAAAAAAGTCATCTCCACTGTTTAACCTGTAAAAAAGTGATCCACTATCAAAACAATAATCAAACTCAGCTAAAACTTCCACCATTTAACCTGTAAATAAAGCAATGACTAGTTACACCATTCACAACTATATAGCCACATCCACATATGTTTTGCAGTGAGTTAGAGGAAACATGGTTTCAATGATGCACTAGGTAAAAATTTAATGTCAAACTTGTAAGACAGAGAGTATCTTACATGTATTGTTGTGTAGATAGTTAGAAAAAACACGAGTCTTCATTGCCTACATTTAAACCTGAAGAGAAAAAAAAAACTTGCTATCACAATCATATAAAAAAAATAAAGAAAACACCACATGCATAAATATGGAGTCTTCATTATCACAACAAAGGATTTAGCATAGATATTGTACACTAGCCGGTGGATAAAGCCTCATAGATTCATTTATTACCATGCAAAGAATTTCATATAATTTCATAAAGGCAATTGTATTTGAAGAGTCCAAAGCAACATATAATTTAGTACCAACAACAAAGCAAAAGCAAGATACCTAATCCTAGATTGCATATCATAATCATAGATTTGAAAACACAGAGAATACCTTTAGTAGAAAGGAGGAGAGCCATAATTCTTCATTGCCTGCTTTTAATACAACCAAAAACTTGTCTAATAAGATTAGAAAAGTTACAATAATGTATTTAAACCAAAACATATAAAAAAAACTCACTTGATTTTCCAATAATAGATAAAGTATCTCTTTCAGCTCTCTAACATCCTCCTCCATTCGTGAACATTTCTCTTGTAAAAGAGACAAATGGTCATCCCATTTTGATAAAATAGAATATTTTATCCTAGTCATCCCGAGACCCATTGATCTCATATGTCCATTCCGATCGAGACCAAAGTAAAAAGCTAGAATACTATTTAGCATATCAATTTCATCGGCAGACAATGTTGAATCTCGTTAACTTTTTTCAAGATTTTCCTAAATATTAAACAACTAATCTTGATTAAAATATGCATCAAATATTTCAAAAACAAAATTTATATAGTAGCTTACGAGAATAAATAATTATTATGATAAAAAATATAATCTTACAATGACTTCACCGGTAGTTGAATTGATAGGTTCACCATTCTTCTTCTTATGTGCCTTTGTCCAAATAGACACTCAATTCCTTATCAGTCTTATTACATAGCTCTAATAACAAAATATGAGTTTCTATTAGATTATGAACATTACAGAAGCTAAAAGAAATAGAAAAAATAGCAAATATTCCTTACAAGTCATACTGTATAACTCTTACGACAAAATAAGAGTTTCTATTTGAATATGAACTTTACAGAAACAAAAACAAAAAATAAAAAATCAAACATTCCTTATCAATCATATTGTACGACTCTAACAACACAATAGGAAACCCAACTACTTGAAATGGTAGTTTAACAAAGCTAAAAAACTGAATAAAGACTAATTTTGAAAACTTCAATCTCCTTGTTAGATAAAGGAAAAATTACAGGGCAAGTCAAATAAATCGCTTAGAAGAAATCAAGATTAAATGAAAATGAACAACTACCCAAGCATCAATAATCACATCAATTTAGTATAATCAAAACATGCATAAAGATAAAAAGATAAAAAAAGTAGAACTAAACGCTAATTTTTTTAATCTCACGAAAAACATCAGTGGAGTAGTAGAATAGGCGGAGATAACAAGAAGAAATGTAAGATCAAATGCTGAAAGAAATTAAGGAAAATTTGTAGGAATTTCATATTATAACTCACCCAGTTATGAATGCCCAAGGGAAGAACGACAACCACACCAAAATGACGAAAGGAGCAATGCCTAAACAATGTCGATGCCCAATAACGGAAGAAATTTCTGAGAAAAGTTTGAAATACACAACCATAATGAAGAAACTCGCCAAATTTTGTGCAAAGACACGATGTACAAACAAATTGCAAATCAAAAGCCAAAGAAAATCACGCAATAGTAGAAACACTGACCAAAATCTTTGCAAAGATTCTGACGCCCAAGGAAACAATCCCGCCCCTCGCCAACCCATTTCGTTCCCGGGGGAGTTCTGAGCATCCCACATCTGCCTCGCATGACGGCAGCTCTTCCCCCTTGAGATCCGGACACAAGTCGACAACGACGAGGTCCTCCATCGCAGCAACTCTCGCGATCTCCGGTCCCAGCCAAAAACCCCTCCCCTGGCGGCACGAACCCCAGATTTGTGAAGATCGGCCGTGACGGCCCTCGGACAACGAACGGCGGTAAGCGAACCAGCAACGCGTCGGCCCGCCGGCCTCGACCCCCTTTTTCTCTCTACTGTTCTTTCTCTCGTTCCCTCTCTAAACACGCGTAACGTGAATGTTTGTTTTTTAATTACATGATGTGTCAATGTTTTTTTTCCTTGTTCGAATGGGATTCGACAGATTGGAGGAAGAGGCGAATGAGGTTTTTTTTTCTTATGTTCAGTTCGTATGGGATTCGGCAGAGTGGTGGTGGAAGATGGGAAGAGGGGAAAGCCAAATCAGACCAAAAAAAAGAGGGAGGAGCGGGAATTTTGAGATTTTCAGGAAAATTTTTCTACTACCCGCCCAATGCCATTTTAACGTGTACAATAGTATATATTTTAATATATATACAATAAACCAGCTAAAATTTTATGAACTTTTAATATATAAATATATAAATATATTATAACTATTTATAAACGCTATTATATAAAACTAAGGTAACGTTTTTTTAAAAGACAGTTTTGTTGTAGTGATAATCAAGCTCCCATATTTCTTTGATAACTCCATAGAAGGACACGTCACTATATACTGGTCTTTTGTCTTCAGAACTTGAAAATTGCATGGTTTGTGCAACTATACTCACATCAGTATTCTGTGTGGTTCTCTTGTTGTCATGTTTTTTAGTGTTTAAGCGCGTGCCGTTGATAACATACCCATCATATTGTATAACATCTAGATTAGGGCCATTAGATATCCAAGGTAGCGTGTCACACATGTTATTTGGCTTCATTTTTATTTCATCTTTAATCTTCAAAACATATTCAAAGCCAAAAAACCAAAAACAAAAGAAAAAAAACTTATTAGTATAATCATTCTATAATCTTCAAAACACAAAGCAAAAGAAAAAAATAATTTTTTCAATACAAATTGTAAGTATAAACTTTATAGACAGTTCAACATCGTTTAAAGTATATATATATATATATATATATATTACCCATTGTCGAAAACCAATCAATAAATGTTTGACGGTGTTTGTCTTGTACCCATTTTAGTCTTTTTGTATTCCTTTTTCAGCCAATCAATGTGTTCTCTGCATATGACGTATGTCGATGGATAACTCTAGGAATTAGAGTTATTTTAGGCATTTCTAAACTTATAGATGGCTTATTCAAAGGTTTAGTTGTTAATTTTATGCTTTATTTGCTCAACATTTAGTTCATGTGATGCACTCTACTAAGATTTATTTATGTGCGGTTTCTGTGATAATTTTGAAGAAAACTGCTAATGTGTGTCCAAAAGGCGTCGTTTTTGATTTGCAGGTTTTGTGAAGATAATTGCTGCAACATTTGCTACAGTAAAAATATGACGGCATGCAGTTAGTGGATGACATCAGCGCATAACTTTGCACGAGAATTAGGACAAAGAGTGCATAAGACGGATTTGGTGCTTAGTCATCTGGACCCAACATCTAAGTAGGAGCCACCTCAGCGTCCTTAGTTGCCCTAAAGAGGAATGCACCTGAATTCTCAACAAAAGGGGGTCGCCGCAGGAACCAAAAAGGAAGCCAGAGGAGAAAATAGAAACAGGCACCCAAGGGAAAAACAACAGCACAGAGCAGAAAGAAAGAAAAGAGAGAAAGAAAACGCAAGGATGTTGGAGAGGAATTAGAGCTGAAATTAGGAGAAGAGGAGCTAGAAGAGGACACCACCAGTCTTTGGAATTCATTTTCTATCGTTACTTTCATTCTCCTAATTCGGTTTATTCTTCCTCTCTTTGTACTTGAAAGATGATTGTTTATTTTGCTGTGTTTAACCAGACAAGTATGAGCTAGTTACATTTGGCTGAGATGATAAAATACCCACATATGTAATTAACGTTGTGTATGCTCACTTTTGCTATATTAATGTTGATCCAGTTTGTTCAATATAATCTTTATCGTTCATTTTTGTTTACTGACTGGCCATCTTAAACAAAATACTGTGAGTTCAATTTGTTGGAAGGTTGATTGGAATTAGACCAATATTGGACAATGTGTTGTTTAGCTAAATTTCACAAAGAAATCTAGTTGATTTGCGAGTAGTATAAGAATATACACTTGTCTCACATAGCCTAATTGAAACTTATGCTTAACTTAACCTCTCTGTTTATATTTCTCATAGGAATATGTTGAAATGCGAGTAAAGAGGCGAAATCATAAGTAGATCGGGAGATTCTTGTGTAAAATTTGTGTTTCAGGTTAGCTGACAGTGTTGCTATAGCTAAAGTCGTAGCATAAATAGCCCAGGTTACAATGAAGGGGAAATTGAGTCCCAATCCTTCACATAGATTGATTTTCACCTTTGATAACTGAGTGTGCATTTATTTACTTCTGTTTACTGCAATTCTTTTAGTCTTTATAGTTGAATCAAACTATTAAATTTGTTTACATTGCATTTTTTGGATCTTATTAAGAAAAATATTAATAATTTTCTCTGTGAAAATGATATTTTACTCACATTTTATTACTTATTCGGCACGTGCACTTGCGTAGTTAATTTCACACCAACATCGATCATATCAATATTTATAACATTATTATAAATATTCTAAAGGAGAGCGTGAAGGGTTACTGTTCACTGTACAGTATTATGAACAGTGTTCTCCCCATTTTTTCCCTCCTCATTTGAGATATTCCCGTGTGTATCCTTTTACACTGAATAATTTATGAGTTTTTACGTTTATGCCCTTTGCTCTTATCTTCTTCATTTGCTGTTGCTTGGGCCATTTTTGTCCTTTTAGTGATTAAAAGCCTTACTCGTAAATGGAACAAAAAAAAAAAGAAAAAGGAAATGAAAGAAATAATTAATGTGGGATAGCTTTTTCAGTTGCAATTTTGCCCTTTAATGTTTGTTTACCACAACTGCTTCCTTTTTGGCATTTATGTCTTTGTAGCGGAAAGTTTTTTTTTTTTTTTTCCAAGAAATTATTCCCCTTTACAGATAAGGTTATTGCTTTTGCTTTTCTCATTCTTTTCCACCGCCGAGTTTTCTCCTCTTGCCTCTGAAATATTTTGCTCTCTTGCTGCCGAGTTTTCTGCTCTATCTTCTTGGCACATATATGGATTTTTTTTAAAAAATTTTTGTTCATATATTTTTTGGTTTTCTTTTTATGGAATTTTTTTAAGAGGCTTTCTTTTCTTTGGGTTTTTTTTTAATCTTTTTTTAAGAATTTTTGGCCCTAAATTTTTTTTTTTTTACTTTCTGTAAACTTTTTCCCTCATTATTTTTTTTTTCAGATTTATAACTTTTTTTTTTTGTTGAATATGTTATTTTGAATTTTCTTATGTATTAATAGCTCTGATTTATACTGTTTTAGTATGTATAATTAGGCTTATAAATTTACAGGTATATTTCATTTCCTCCCCTTTTGTATAATGAATATCCATTAGCTTACTGTCAGTACTTTATTGGTTTTGTTTTGCGATGAAATATATGTTTTATGACACCTGTTGTAATATATTCATTATTCTAATTGATTTTGTTTTGCAGTGATTTGTATCGGAGATTGAACTAAATTTGTTAGTATTATATTTTCACGCGTATATGTCATTATCTTTAGTTCTGTTTAATTCAAATATGATTTTTTACTGTTCGTTCTTTATTGGTTCTATTATGTGGTGCACTCCATGCTTCATGACACATTATACATATACTAAAAGAAAAGACGAGATTCACTGTTTAATGAACAGTGTCTTTCCCGTTTTAGTCCTGATTTTTTCTTCTGCTGAAATTTTAATTACGGCCGTGTCCCGAGAGTAAAATGACGATACTACCCTTCACTAGAGCTTTTTGTGTGCGCATTTGCTGTGACCATTTTGGTCATTTACTAATTTTATGCTTATGTCGTTTGCCCGTGATTCATTTCCCTCATTTCAGTCTTATCTGTAGCCTTTTCTCTCTCTTTCTCCTCCATATTTTTCCTTCCGTCACATTCTAGAATCTTCCTTCATCGATAGAGAGCCTCAGTTTTTTCCCCTATTTTCTGTTTGTTGATCTCCGCCATTTTTCCATTATTTCTTCCTGTTGTCATTTACACCTTCCGTTGCTTTGCTGTTGCAATTTTCAAATTTTTTTTTAACTGAGATTGAGGATTTTTCCTTTTTTCCCCTTTTCTCCGTTTGTTTTCCTCTGTAACCTTTTAGATCCGTTTTCCTTTTTGCATATTTGGAGCGATTAGGGTTATGTTTTTTTTTTGGTCTATTTGTTCTTATGAGTTTCTACATTTATGTTTATCTGCTTTTATTTCTGGATCTGCTTTTTCCCCTTTTGGTTTTTTCTTTTTGAAACCTTTTAAATTCCTTTATTTTTGTAAATATTTGTTCATATTTCTTTGTTTGTCATATTTGTTTTTTTTTTGTAAAATCTGAGTTTTTTTCCTTCTTGCTAGATCTAGATCTGCTTATACCTTTCCGTATTTGCACTGAACAGGCTTATATTTTTCTTTGGGTTCGTTCGTTTCTGTGATCTTCTGCATATATGTTTATCTTTACTGTTTCTGGATCTATATTTAAATATTTATTTTTTCCCTTCTTTAACCTTTTAGATTAGTCTATTTTGTTTGGTTTTTTGTCCCATTTCTTCGTTCTCTAAATATCTTCTCCCTGCAACTCTGTAGATCTTTTTTCGTCCCTCACTAGAATTATTGTAGCTGCATCTCTCCTTTTTTTTGTATATATATATGTTTCTCGATGCTTTATATTACATTTTGTCTCATTAGTTGTACATGCATGTTAATTTTTGGTCCGATTACGCTATTTGTTATTATTGTACAATGTTTTGGTTGAATATTTCGGTTTTCATTTCATGTGTTTGTTCATACTTTTCAGATCTGTGTTTTTATTTTTCCCAATTTTTTCAATACTGTCCTATTTCTTTTAGATCTACGTTCGGGTTTTTCTTTTTTTATTCTTTTTTTTTGTCAGTCGATTATTATATTAGTGAGGAAAAAGAAAAATATTTTTTATAATTTTATAATTTTTTACCTTTTTTTTTTCTTTGGGCTCCTGCTTTTAACATATGTATAATTTCTGTTTACATATATTAATTTGAATAAATGACTAATATTTGTTGTCGTTTTAATGTAATAATATTTATAATGCCCTTCTTATCTGCCACGTGTATCTGTAATTTTTGCGTTTTGTGTAATATCTAAACAAAAAATAGCTGCCGGTTATTTATTGCTTATTTTTTGCGGTGCTGTTCATGCAGTGTGACGCCTGTTGCTAATGGATCATTACTTTTATTGGTTTCTGTTTGCAAGGATTTGTATTTGATATTAAGCAAGACACTGGTAAATTTTTCTATAT